CCCCAAAACCCCAAAACCCCAAAACCCCAAAACCCCTTAGAAGTTGGAGATATTGGAAAGATAATATTTAATATAATCATCTTCTTAATCATATCTTTCCCATTCAGATGGAATTTGAAGGTTAGAGTAGAATAATGACAATTCATTTTTATCAGTCACTGGGACAGCCCAGATACAATCAGTGTTGATTCCAAGATTATCTTCATACATGTCTAAAGATCAATATTAACTTATACCTATCCTAAAGAAGCCTTTTTCTCCCCATGTAGTTCCGTAAGAGTTTCTTCCGATCCAGTATTGTTGGCCTGTTAGAGTTTTACCCCATCCAACAATTGACACATCGTGTCTGTACGTACTGGTCTCTTTATCTCTAAAGATATGAGGTTTAGCTTACAGTTTTTCTGAGTAAATACCTCCTTCATAGTTGTGGAAGTTCTCTGTGAAGTTAACTCCACAAGAGATGGGTCCTCTGTTAATAATCTCTGCTTTCATATAATGGACTGCTTCTTTCTCCCTCCTTTCTTGAGATAGGGATTGGTCTATGGATTAGAACTGGAAATTACCCTGAACATGTCCGTATTCAGAAACAAAGTAACGATTGTAGTTGAATATTGTTCTACAATTTTGGAGCAAATGCTCCCCTGTTTTTGGAGGAGGACCATGGCAATCTCTACAAACATCAAACGGGTTGCAAGTTCTAGTATAGTCTTTCCCTTCATAATTGAAGCAAGAACTATCTGGGATTCCGTGGGTATTGGCAAATTCATATACTGTTGCTGGATTTCCTCCTTCTCATGTCCCTCCTGCTTTACAGTTGATAATTGCTTGAGGGCTTAAAGCTAGTGTTGCCTCTATTCTCTTTTGATTTATCAAAATTCTGTCTGCAAGAGCAGAACTTGGAGCAAATGCCCAACCTGCATCTCAGTGATTTGGAGCATTCTGATTTTGAGTTTTTGATGCGTAATTGAAGCCAAAAACATTTCTCCAATCAAAGCTATCTGGAAGTTCTTCCTCTGTTAGCAAATCTCCTGGTCTTGAAGAAAGCACCTTCTCACCTTTAATAAAATGAGATTTTTGATAATTTGAAGTAATGGTATTCTGGGAACTCTCTTTCTTTGTCTCAAGGAGCTGATTTGATTTTTCAACATTCTTTTGTACAACAACTTGCTTTCCTTCGCTCCAAGTATCCAAAGGAGTAGCCCATGAGCAATTAGTTTCAATAGCAATGTTATTAATTCCTCTTATTACTTTGAAGAAACCGTTATCAGCATAAGAAGTTCCCCAAGCATTTTTAACATGCCAAAACTTAACGCCATTTTGCTCTCCAAACCCAACAACTTCGCACTCGTGGTCGAAGCTTTTCCTATTGGTTCTATCAATGAAAATTCCCTCAGTATGCTTATAGAGGCCTTCAGGTGTAGAACAACTGCAAGCTATCGGGCCATTTTGATAGATTTCTTCCATCATTTCTTGCTCTCCACTGACGAACCCATACTCCTCTACATAATATTTGTGATATTGCTCTTTTGGTGTTCACCCTTCAGGAGTACATTCCATGCATTCTAATAGGTCTGAGCAGTCTAAGCCATTCATATAGCCAAGCGCTTGGTATGGAGAGCATGTGTTATCTGTGATTCCATTTTCTTTGATCCACTTAAAGGCGAGCAAAGGCCATCCACCGCTGCACCCTCTGTGTTGTTTATCACAAGAGAGGAGGACCTGCTCTGATAGTTGGATATCTGGCCACTCCGCATTTCTCATTATCTTGATCCTGTCATTGAGAACTCCCACTGTAGCAAAGGCCCATCAACTTCCGCAATATTCGGGAATATGTTGGTTGGCTACATTGTTGATATAGTTGACTCCATCCTTATTAGCCCAGGTGAAGTCCTTAGGAAGATTGCTCATTGGACTTGATTTCCTAGAGTATCCACTGACTTGCTCTCTCTGATTAATCCAATGACCTTGGTTAATCTCATCATCAATATCATCACGAATACCTATATTCATCGTAAATATGTGACGTTCAACATTAATCTATTAACTTCAGAGTATTCTATAAATATTTACTTGATCTTTTGCCTTTGGAATGGTCACCGCCCAGAGTAAAGTTCAGAGCTAATGAATGCTTAACCACAAAGAGTAAGCTTATTAGAACTGCAAATACAAGATTTAGCCTTGCTTTATTCATATTAAATTATGTAAAAGTTGGATATTAATTTCAATAAGTTTTCTCTGAAGAGGGGTTTTGGGGTTTTGGGGTTTTGGGG